CTAAGAACATATATGATCATCCTTGAAGAGCCATCAAGCCACAAAACACAGAGAGTAATCTAAAATAAATATTTCTGTGTAAAGGCGCTAATCCAGAAAGTCTATTATGTAGCTCCAAACTGTGTGGCATTTTGGAAAAGGCAAAGGTATAGAGAGAAAAGAAACCTGAATGATCACCAGGGGCTGGTGGTAAATGGAGATGTGGAGTCCAGGAATACTCCTAAAGACGCCACACACCACAGAACAGCTTCCCAGAAACAATAACTCCCCTGTCCAAGCCGTGATAATGTTAAGGTTGATGAACTCTGCCTCACAGCAGCCACAACACATACTAGAGATGAAAGCCAATGGATGGACAAGAATCTGGTTGTTGCCCACAAATATTTAATCAAAATACAAACAACAACAAAAAAGAGCAAAGGAACCAAAAGGAAAAAGGGGAAATTGGGAGCAAGTAACAGGTAGCTAAATATATCAAAACCACAAAAATGTGAAAAGAGCAACCATTCCAATCAAAAGGCAAATATGACCCGAATGGACTAACTGTGTGACCTATGGGACTGCTACAAGAAACACACGGGAAATACAGAGAATTAGTAAGTAGAGATGAAAGGATGGAAAGTGAAGCCCTATGGGGAACAGCAGGTATAAAAACAATGGAGGTGCTAAAATGATATCAGATCTAACACTGATCTTTAAGACATTGGGCATTGCCCAGGGTAAAGAAAAACACTGGGAAGCTGTAGAGATAGCTCAACATTTAAGAGCTCTTTCCCCTCTCAGAGAGGATCCAGGTTCAGTTCCCAGCACCCACATCAGTTGGCTCACTATCTTTTTTAACTCTAGTTCCAAGGGCTCTGATGCCCTTTTCTAGACCCCTGATGTGCGCACAATGCACGCAAACTCATTCTTTAAAAACAAAAATCTCGTATTTAAAAATAATTATTTAAAAAAAAATAAAGTAAAAAACTCATACAGACATGCAAATTTAATTATTTTTAAGAAAATATTTTTAGAGAGGAAAGCAATAGCATCATTTCAAATAATTGTAAATGAAAAAAAACTTAGCTGTTTTAATGTAAAATATTCAGTAAATTATAGGAAGTAGAAAACTAAGAACATATATGATCATCCTTGAAGAGCCATCAAGCCAGAGGAAAGATGAATAATGAAAGAAAGCTCATCTTAACAGGAAAAATATGCTTATCATTGTATATATGTATCTGATAGAACATATCAAAAAACATGAAGGAAAAATTAACAAAACTAAAGAGAATTGTTACAAAATGATACATTTTAAAACTCCTCTTAGATGCTATCATGATTTGTGCCTGAAATGTCCCCAAAGCTCATGTATTAAACATTTGGTCCCTAGACAGTTTAGGAGGAGGGGCTAGCTGGAAGAAAAGAACTAATGATGACCTGACCTTAATCACTGGCTTTCTCTCTTTCTGGTTCCTGTCCCTCATGAACTATGTCCCCCACATGCTTCCAAATGATGGCAGATGCTCAATCAGATAGGCCCAAGAGAACTTGGACTGAATCCTCTGGAACCATGAAGCAAAGTGAATCGTTCTGTCCTTTTAACTGGATTTCTAAGGTATTTCATCGCAGATGCAATAAAACTGGCTAATAGAATAAATGTTGTAAAACTAGATAAAATTCACCCATGTTGTTGATAGCTAAATTAACATTATCAGATACAAGATCCTAATTCATGTTTCAGTCTTCTTAAACATAAAACTGGTACCATCAAGAAGATATATAGCAATTTAGTCCATAGAATAAATCACAATGTATTCATAGGGTCTTAAATGGAAGACATGAGTTCTTGAGTCTGGAGAGATGGCTCAGTGGCTAAGAGCACTGGCTGCTCTTACAGAGGACCCAGGTTTGATTTCCAGCACCCACAAAGCAGCTCACAATAGTCTGTGACTCCAGATCCAGGGAATCTGATGCCCTCTTCTGGCCTCCACAAGCACCTGGCAGGCACCCGATACATGATCTACATGCAGATAAAACATCCATCATATAAAATAAAATATTTTAATGTAAAGTTATAGATTCTCTAAATGAAAATTCAGTAACAGATATTTAGAAAAAATCAGGTGATGGCTGGTACAACTTGCAAAGTATTTATGGATTCAGGCAGAAATCACAAGAAAAATAATTAGAAAATATCTCAGAATGAAACCAGAAATACAACACATTTCAAGTTATGTGAGGCACCAAAAACAATAGTTAAAAGGATAACTTTGAATACTCACAGTAGAAAACAAGACAAATTTTACATAATAACCTTGTTTTTTTCTTTAAGCAGATATAGAAGAGGAAAGGTGAACCCAAAAGAGGCAGGTGAAAGAAATTAGAGAGAAAAGAGCAGAATTCAGTAAATACAATCAACCAATATGGAAACACAACTAAAGGGGACAAAAGGTGTGTCTTTCTAAAGCTAAGTTAATAGATAAGTAGGAAATGCAGAGGACATGGACCACCCTTTGCAGGTAGTCAAAGTATTACCTACACAGTTTATTAATATCAAAGGGAAATGAGGAATACTGTTAATAACTTTATACCTTCAAATCCAACAAGCCCAATATGCTTAAGAGATTTCTTGAAAAAACACAGTTCACTAAAATTAAAGTAAATCAAAGAAAACATATTTATGTAACATTCATGAAATAAGCATATTTAAGAAACTATTCCACTAGTAATATCAAGATTTCCCATGTTAATGCTATCAAACATCCAAGATGGAGGATAAATCATTCATAGACAAAAAAATCTTGTAGAAAATAAAGAATATAATATTTCTCAACTTATTGTCTGAGGACAGCACAACGCATATATTAAATGCTGACAACACCAAAGTAACAATGACAAACTAATGTACCTCACACATGTTGGCACAAAATTCAATAGAATAATTAAAACTTCACTGTGATTTGATGAGGGTAATGGAATAAAAGTTGTGGAAATACCCAGAGATGTAAGAGGAAGGTAATATATGATGCGTGTGCATTTCAAACCAATAGTGAAAGGTAGAATATTGAACAAGCAATACAGAGAATTTTAGCTGATTGACTATCTATTGCCCTGCTCAAGCAAATTTTAGATGAAATAGCAACTTATCATGTTTAGAAAGTAAATTATGAACTCAAAACATAGAAGTGTATATTATAATTCTGTCAGAGATAATGCCGTCCTTGAAAAGACAGATTTCAAAACCCTGAAAGAGGGGTATCTCTGACACTTAGGAAGCAAAGGCCATAAAGTAACATTATAAAGCTGTAAGTGTGGTGACACACGAGGGCAAAAGTATACAGCATGCACAGCAGAAAAGAGATGCTATTCTCTGACATGTAAGCATCCTAACAAATAATAATAATAATAAAAACCAGATATTTGCTCTGGTCAAAAAAGGGCATTTCACAGAAAAATTTTACTCCCTTCCCATTCTTGTAATGTAAATCAAGCAAAAATATTTTCTTTAATCTATCAGACTGACAAAGTAAGAAAGTCTGGTTACACACAATGTTAGTGAGATTAGGTACCAAAGGACGCCCTCTTGTATCAACATTTACACCTTATCTGGTGGGCATTTGGCTCTCTCTGTGAGTCAAGATTCACATGACTTTAATCTAATAAATTCCACTCCTGGGAACTCTAGATAACAGACATATTTGTACATTTATGCAAAGTCCCACAGGCAAGAATATTTACAGGAGCACTGTCGGCAGTAGCAAAGACAAAGGTAGCTAGCTGTCCATCAGCCATAGTAAGAAGCTAGCTAAATACATTTAAACAGGAACACTCTGAAGTAGTAGAGGCTGCAACTGATCTGCAGATGTATCGATTTGAAAGGTGTTTACACAGAGACTGTTGTTTTATATCTGCTGACAATTTCTTCCAAAGTAAGCAATAAATTGCTGGTGTCTGAATAAATAATGTTAGATAGGGGGTCTGGAAGAATAGAAAACAGAGGTCTTAAAAATAAATATTTTGTGACATTTAAATATGTTGTAAATGTGTATATATTGTTGAAAAACCTACTTGTTCTAAAAGATAATAAACTAAATGAATTAGCTATTTCTTGTATCCATGAAAAGAGCAGATGGAACGCAGCTCTTTGATATGGCAAGCTTTGGTAAGGAAAACCACGTGCTTGTTCAAGGTGTTTGAGTTCTCAGATCTGAGAATGTGCCAAGGCCAATACCAGGTGCTTAATGGACAGCAACAACAAAAACAACAAAAAATGTTATCTACCTCTGCAAGCTGTCTGCCTTCTGCAAGCTCACAGTTCTATGAGAAGAGCTCACCTTCTGCCTTTGATGAAGATGGCTGTCCTATGGCTAATATATAAAAGGGCTGGAGAATGCATGTCTCTCCAAGACTAGCACAGCAGCTTAGCCAGGTCAACATTCCTCCTCTGCAGACCTCACCCAGTCCCTTGTTAATGGCCAGAAACTGTTGAGCTCCAGGGAGGAGTTTGAAAAAACTACAGAGCAACTGACTATTGTGACATCTGTCCATCTAGTTTTACAAAGCAACTTAACTCACCAACCATATTGCATGCCTCTGATCCTGCCTTACTCTTTGGGGCTATGCTGTTCCTCCAGCTTGGAATACTGTTCTGCTTGCCTGGGTAACTCCTATCCAACAACAAATACTAGCTCAAGTGCTTCTCCAGGGAAACCTTCTCTAATTGTTTGCTATTTGAATTGAGTGGGAACTTTTCTGTATTCTCATAGCTCTCCCTATCTAAATATATTTAGCTATGTACTTAGGTCCTCATTCTAAATTACCAATTTGCTTAAAATCACATCTCTGGTGCTTAACATAGATTAGAAGCTAACTTGATACTTTCATGAGCTTAATGGTAGGACTTCCTTCTTCTCTGCTTTTTCCAGCTTATGTTATTTAATTGACCATGTTATTGATTTCCCTGCATATGTCTGTCTTGCTTCATAGCTTCTCCAAGTTCAAGGCATCATACTCACTTGTCCAGAGATATCCCTGGGAAGATGAACTTGCCCAGACAGATTCGACAGATGGCACTCAGAGGAATCTGCTGCATCTGCACACAGCTAAGCATGATGAAGTCATATTTGCAGATCAACAAGGTCTTGTCTGTGAGCAGCAGGATCTTCTCCTTCTCATTGTTCCAGTGATCAATCCTGTAGTAACAAACATGGGGCAGAAGAATTGATGACATGGTCTCTCTTGAGGAAACCCAAGTCTGCATCATCTTGGCCTCCAACCAATTTGTTCTTCACACCCTCCTGGCTCTCCTGGAAACCTTCACGAAGCAGTTCTCCTCCAAGGATACCAGGAATGTCATTGTTCTAACTCAGACTGCACCACAAAATCCTCTCACTGCCAACTGGCTTACACTGATCTCCAGGAACCATTTGCTGTGTGGAGATGAAACAGAGACTTAAATGCCGACTGCCATGATCTAAGCTCATTACATCACATCCATCAGGGATAGATAGCCAAGCAACTGAGCAGACAGATACTTGGTAAGTGCTCACTGATTAGATTCACTCCCAAAGTGAGAGCCTTTCTGGACACACAGGGAGTATTTTGACTGTGAATTAAGAATTTGGAAAGAAAACAAGAAGGAAATAACACTGTGCTTTTTGATTAAGAGGGAGTGATCACATTCTGCACTTCTTGTTGATATAGCAGATCCTTCAGGATACAGGACTTTATGACTTACAGGGCCGGAGAGATGGCTCATCAGTTAAGAGCACTGGCTACTCTTCGAGAGGACCTGGGTTTGATTGCCAACACCCAGTGGTGGTTCACAAGCATCTATATGATTCCAGTTCTAGGAGATCCACCACCCTCTTCTGGCCTCCATGGGCATCAGGCATATACATGATACACATATATATGCATGCCGGCAAAATAAGCACATATATAAAAATAAATTAATTTTAAAGAGACTTTATGACTTATTAGAATTTAGTATGTGCTTTTTTAGTAAAAAACTGGCATGTCTGTTTTGTGGCCAATTCATGTCTGAGTTCTGACCACATGTAATCAGTCTAGTGGTTGAGTGTTATGGACATCTTTCCCCCAACTATTTCCTGAGCAGTAACCACGGTGCAGTTCTTAAACTGTGGACAGAATGGCATTGCTTCCTTCACCTTACTACACAGCCTCCTGTAGCTTAGAGTCATATCCAAGGCTCCTAAGATAAATTACCCATCTCTATAGGGTCTAGCCCTTGCCCAGAGTCATCTTACAGTAGAGAGAACACTTACTGTCCTAGTCATGGTTCAAATCCATGGGTTTCTTTCTTTTTTTTTTTTTCTTGTTTTTCGAGACAGGATTTCTCTGTGGCTTTGGAGGCTGTCCTGGAACTAGCTCTTATAGACAAGGCTGGTCTCAAACTCACAGAGGTCTGCCTGCCTCTGCCTCCCAAGTACTGGGATTAAAGGAGTGCACCACCACCACCTAGTGAATCCATGGGTTTCTTAAGCTACTTTGTAAGCCTGTTGCCTTATTAAGTTATCTAGAAACAGCTTAACCCTTTCTCTTCCTGCATATATCTACACAATTTATTTTTAATTTTAAATTTACTAAAAACATATTACAAATTGATTTTATTTGATTACATAATTATAATTGCATGTAACTTTATTATAATTACATAGATATATTTGACGGTGAACATATAAATCCTAAGTGAAGCTCCACGGATTCCATTCTGAATGGCAACTTCAACTGTGTGGAAGTTCATCAAGTTGTATAGTCTTTGAGTCTGGCTAATTCCATTGTGTGATTTCTTTAATCTACTTAATTTCAAGGAAGGAATAAAGTACAAAGTGTTTAGCAATAGGTACCATAAGGACACTGGCCTCACAGAATAAATACTTCATGGTTCAACTAAGTATAGGCCATCAACTCTATTTGTACAAAAATGTATGTGTTTATGACATAAAAACATATGTGTCTGAGCAAACAAATGGATGTCAATGAAGATTTTAGGTCCTATGGAGGAAATGACTATATGAATGGAAAGATAAATTTCTATCATTTAGTAATCCTGGAGATTAGAGTTAGAACTTTGGCTTAAGTAGCTTGTCTTTGAAATGGACACAATATTTACCTCAATACCACAGGGAGGGAGTATAGGAAATGATTCCACTGGTGTTCTAAACTTCTCAGTGATTAGTACTGATGTGGACTAGGTTGCTAAGGGGCTTTGGGTGACTGGGTATCTATGCTACCTTCTTTGTGGTATAAAGATGGATAAGAGAAAATAAAGTCACATTCATGAGAGGAGGAACTGGAAACGCATGAAAGAAGAAACCCGGAAGGAGTGGGCATAGAAGCTGAGTATTGGCTGGGGCCCCAGTGCAAATGGCCTCTGTGCATTCCATGTATTAGTGGTCCATCTGCCCACAACCCCTGAAAGAGGTCATAGCTACAGTCATTCTGCTCCAAAGTTAAGTCACAGTTACAGTGTGGTGGAAACAGGCCAGAATCCAAGCGGTTCTACTTAAGTCCTGGTTCTGGGGTTCCCACCCACTCTAAATAACAACGTTCAACCCCTTCTCTCCTGCGAGATAGTTCTTGATAGTCGTCTTGACATGTTCAGTCTTAAGAAGATGTAAAGACTGAGATGTCCTATCACCTTTCTACATAAACTTCTCTAAATAGACCTCATCTACTTTGCAATGTTTCATATATGGCTGCCCAATAAATCAGACTTGTTTTAAGTCTGAGGGGGGGAAAAAGGAAGGAAAAAAACCTGCAGCTTTCTGTTGAATGGTTTTACTGAAAATGTCAGCACTCCATAATGAGATTTATTTTAAAGGTAAAGGATTCCGGGGGGGGGGAGGAGGATTCTTTTTAGGAACACAGAGTGCTCTGCTCTGACACAAACTCTGCATAATTTACACGTCAGGATGTCTGAATTCAAGCAAATACTTGAGCCTAGAAATAGCTCCGGCCACCATCTCTAGCTCTTAGGGGGTGGTATTTCTTTGAACTTCAGTCATATCTTCATTTCTTCAAGAATTCATGGAAACACTGAACCACATAGTCCTGATATGAATGCCCTTGAAGTCTGGAGGGCAATAATAACAAACACAAGAAAAGGAATAAGAGCCACACAGAACTGCTCTAGCTCAGGGAGACTACTGAGGCCTGGGACATCAATGCTCTCCTTTATTGCCCACAGTAACTCTTTAGACTGAATGCAATCACACCTGATTTAACATAAACTGGCTATGTTACACATAGCAGGGTCCTATGTACATGGGTCCTGAAACAAATATTGAGACATCCAATCTAGGCATAGTTTTTGGCTCTCTCCCTCGTGGCACCCCCAAACAAAGGACCCTTAGTGTGTATGCAAATGTAGTCAAACACCTCTGTGAGGAGCGCTTGTGACCCTACATGCCACTGCAGCAGTTGATCTCTCTAGAAAACTTCCCCAAACACACACGATTCCCAGCCTGGCCTGCTTATACCATACCTTACCTTGGGAGAGAACTTTCTACCCATTTCTGCATGCCAACTAGTAACCATCTCGCTACCAAATGTCTCTAAACCACCCAATTCTCTCCACCTTCAACATCACCAAGTCGTCTGTTGTCACAGAGGCCTGTTTTACCTACATCTGCTCTTCCTGCCAACCTCTGCACCCTGCTTCACTGGAGGCAGGTTCTGTCCTGGGCCTTGCTTTTGGTTTGTTTGTCCATTTGCCCTTTGTGTACTTTTGCTTGGTTGGTTTGGTTTGCTTTGTTGGGTAAGAAACTCAGTCCATTCCTTACTCACTCTGCCTTAAAAAGCTTTAGCGTTTCTTCCCCAGGTTCTTATAACAAATGACAAGAGAAACTAGGAAGTTTGGGGTGTCTATTATTTGTCCCTTTGCAGGCAGTGTTTTCCAGCTCCTTCTAGGTAGTGCCTATGCACTTGAGCTCCATCTCTGCATCCAGCAACACAACCTGGCCTCTGTGAACACTTACTCCTTCTAATTGTGCCCTGACACAGCACTACTACTTCCTCTATCCTGGATGAAATAGCATTGTTATTTTTATGATTATATAATTTATGTCTCACTCATCTTGTACTGTATGCTCATGTCACTCATGCCTTCTGGGGATTCCGTTCATAATTTTCAACCAATTGAAATGCTCCTCCCCCATAAACTAGAACATTAAAACAAAAGCAGTATGTTTTGGGGGATGCTCCTGCCACAACAATGAGAAAGAAGAAGATGTAAAAGGAAAGTAGTGCATACATCAAAACTTTAACATTCATTATTATTCTGGAATGGTGAGATTTCAAATGATTTTTTTTCCTTTTTGTGTGTGCTTTTAGTTACTGGAACTCAATTGATTTACATATGTTTTATATGCATACATATATACATATATATATGTATTTACACATTTGTACATATATGTAAAGAGAATATGTATATGTGTGTGGCATGGGCAAGTATATAGCAAGAGATATAGAGATAAAGATAGTACATATATAAATGCACATACATATGTGTATATACGTGTGGATATGAACATATAAAGATAGATAATAGAGATAGATAGATAGATAGATAGATAGATAGATAGATAGATAGATAGATAGATAATGCATGTATATGAGGCATGAGAGCATACACATATATGTATTTGCATGTGGAGATCAGAGATCAAAGTCAGGGATCCCCCATTGATTCTCCAACTTTCTTTTGAGAAAGAGACCCTCACTGAAACTGTTGCTCTCAGATTAGCTAGACTGACTAGCCACATACCTCAGGGTTCTTCTGTCTCTCCCTCCCCAGTGCTGAGAATACAGGTATTTGCCACCATGCCTAGTTTATACATGGGTTCTGGGGATACGGACTTGGGTATGCATAATGAACATTTTAATGACAGTTGTCTCCCTAGCCACCAAAATGGTTTCTTTTAAAATTAGAAAATACTTGCATTTCTCTGATTGATAAGGCTGCTACACAGCTTTTAAAAGATATTTCCTAGCCATTTTTATTTCCTATGAGAGCTTTCTGTGCAGATGTATGGCCCATTTTTAATTGGGCTGTTTGTTTCTTGATTTTTTAAGGGCTTTGTGTGCTCTGGCTATTACCCCTCTATGGAAGTACGGCTGGCAAGGGCTCTCCCCACTCCGTGGACCTCTTCTTCAAGGAACTGAT